TCCCTCCTGGTCCCTTGCTTGTTGAGGTCAGTGTGGACCAGGATGTCCTTGAGATTTTTATTTCTACGAAAGGCGGAGATCACACGGCTGTCCTCCAGGGCGGCACAGTGTTCCCTCGTCCCCTGAAAATTGCTCTTGATGGTCTTGAGCAGGTTATGGGTAGCCTCCGAGAATGTTGAAATTAAGGGGACGAGGGACTGGGCAGGCGGTTGTGGGGTGTCGGTGCCGCCTCTGAAGGTGTCGGCGACCTCCGCCTTAATCGTTCTCAGGAAGCGCTTCGAGTAACCCCTGAGTCTCAACGCGCCAAAAAGGGTGCTGGTTGCCTCCTCCACATGGCCCGGGAGGGTGCAGATCCTGTGGAACCGGATTAGCTGAGACTTGATAAGACCTCTGTAGGTGTGTTTGGGGTGATAACTGGATTTATGGAGGAGGGCGTGACGGTCCGTTTCCTTGAAGAAAACTTTGGTGGCCAGGGTTTTGTTCTGGACGCTGCATTCTTGGAAGAAGACCCTGGTGTCCAGGAACTCGACCGAAAGGTGTTGAAAGTTGTGTTTGAGTTTTATTTTCGGGTGATGTGCATTTAAGGTGTCCAAAAATGTGTGAAATTGCTGTTCGGTGTGGTCCCAGAGGCCGAAGATGTCATCCAGGTACCGGAAGTAAAGGAGGGGTTTGTGCTGCAGTTTGAGAAAGGCCGTTCTCTCCCAATGGGCCAGGTAGATGTTGGCATACGCCGGAGAGTATTTCCGGCCCATTGCACAGCCGCACAACTGGAGATAGTGTTTATTGTTGAATGTGAAGTCGTTCCGAGTCAAGGTGATGTTAAGGAGTTGGATTATTTCTTGATCAGGTCTATCTGGGTCGGGGTATTTATTAAAAATGTCTTGAATGGCAATGAGGCCGAGTGGAGTTTCAATGTTGGTGTACAGAGATTCAATGTCAATGGTAAACAGAAAGGTATGACCAGGTACCTGAAGGTTTTTAATTTTATTGATGAAGTGGTAAGTGTCCTGAAGATAACCGGGGTGAAGTTGAGAAAGCGGATTAATAAAGTGGTCAATATATTCTGTAATGTTGTAGGACTCGGAACCGCAATCGCTGACTATAGGGCGGCCGACCGGAACCAAAGAAGGGACCGTCCAAGTCTCCGGAGGCTTGTGTATCTTGGGGAGCAGGTAAAAGAGGCGAGGTCTGGGCTCATCCGGACCGTCCAGGTACTGTTTTTGTTGTGAATTGATGTATTGTTTGTCATGAAGACTATGTGTA